GAGGCAACCATGGTACCTACTCTAGATTCTAAACAGCACGATACCCACACTCCAGGCTCTGAAGGAAAGACAGCTGGGAATGTCAGCCAGCTTCAGGAGAGCCAGAGGCTAATAGGGGTGACCGACGTTTTCTGTCCCCTTCTGAGTGAAATAAAGCAGCTGGACACCTACAGAGCCGTCCTGTGTGTGCCAGGCACTCTGCTGGTGTCACAGCACAGAGGACCAACACACGGACCCCGCCTGCCCTGAAGGGGTTCCCAGTCTTGCCAGGAGATGGACACGAGTCAGGAACTATGATGCACGTGCTCGAAGGGAAGCATGTAGACCAGCATGGGAGCCCCAAGGAGGGAGAAGCCAGCATGGGAGCCCTGAGGAGGGAGAAGCCAGCGTGGGAGCCCTGAGGAGGGAGAAACCAGCATGGGAGCCCCGAGGAGGGAGAAGCCAGCATGGGAGCCCTGAGGAGGGAAAATTTCTGCCTGGGTGTAAAGGGACTTGCAGAAGTGATATTCGATCTGAGCCACCAAGAAGGAGGAAGAACTTTCCCAGGTAACACCAATATGTGCCGCCAGCGATGCCCCAGCCCCATCTCACTGGCAGCTGTTTCCCACCGAGCCCAGAGGCCTGAGACTGAGGGGACCTTGCTGATGCTGTCCCCTCATCGCCCGTCTGGCCCAGGCCTCATGTCACATCTTCTTTGAAGACTTTCTCCGACTTGCCTTCTATACAGTCACATTACTACGTACGTACCTCGCCAGGAACGTGCGGTGTGGAGGCTGCGTCGGTGCCTCTGGCCGTCTCCTTGCTGTTCACAGAGGAGACTGATCACGTCAGCTCTGCCCCCGGCACCCAGCACCCAGCACCCAGCAGAGTGCAGAGCAGCTGCCCAGTCTGGATTCACCGCTGTAACGTCTGGGCTCTGCCCCCAGCACCCAGCACCCGGCAGAGTGCAGAGCAGACGCCCAGTCTGGATTCACCACTGTAACGCCTGGCTGGCTGGATAGTTACACATGAAACCTGCTTCTCACTGAGGCAAGGTGACTGGCTGGAGGAGCCAGTCCCGCTATCAGCTGAGAAGAGCGCTGGCCGGGCATCTCAAAGCAAAGCCTTCCTTCATGGAAATGGGGGAAGGTAGAACACCTCTGTTTTGGAAGATGGCCCAGGACTATAATTTTCAGTCCCTCACAAGGGGACTCCCCTGGAGAGATGAATTTCACTTTGTTTGCTGAGTGCCTACTACGTGCAGGGAATGAGAGGCACCAAGACAAAGGAGACACAGTCCTGAAGCCTGACACGATAGCGCCTGATGGGGGCTGTCCTTAGGGTGGATGCGAACCAGAATTCAGATGGCACCAGCTCTGCCCCATCCCACTCTCTCCACCCAGATCACTGTCAAGTCCTGTTTTACGTACAGGCAGCATGGCCACACCATCCACGGGAAATTCTTCTGTCCTCCCAGAGGTTTTCTGAATCAGTAACACCCTGGCCTATCCCGTTCGGGTGAGTGGAAGCTACGATGGCCGTCTACACGCAGGCTGGTTTCTAACCTGCCCTGTCTCTGGGAGGAAAGAGGCCAGAGTGGGATTCGCAGAGGCCCCTCTGCAGGGGAAGAAGGGCCTGGACTCCGGCCTCAGAGATGCCCCTGCGAGGGAGAGAAGGGCCTGGACTCTGGCCTCACTCTGAGGTGGTGCCCAGGACTGGAGCGTGTAACCTTAGACGCCCAAGACACGGAATAACGTACTGCCTCTGGGCCCTCCCTCGGTGAACTGGTTTGCATGGTGCAGAACTCAAATAATGGTTCTTCAGATTCCCGGAGTGGCTTCCTCCATGTCCACACAGACCGACGCCCAAGTGCGGCCTCTCCATGAAGCCCCACTGTAGCGTAACGGCACACTCTGCTCCCCAAGACTCCGCTGTGGACTCCTGATGAGCACCAACTCCGGAGTCAGACAGTGCAGGGATCCCATCTTCCCCTCCCATCGCCATGGGACCCTGGGCAGGTGACAATGCCTTACAACCTCTGCACATCCATTCCCGTAGCTATGAAATGGGAATCAAACGCTGTGGCTGTGGTGTGAGCATACCGTATCATCAGAAGGAAACCTCTACCAGGGGAGGGCGAGGGTGTAGAAAAGGTAATTAGGAGAAATAAATGGCAATTTACAAAGGAAAGAGGTTTAATGGAGAACTCACAGTTCCACGTGGCTGGGGAAGTCTCACAATTAGGAGAAATATGCCATAATTAGGAGAAATATGTCAATAATTGCAGGAGGTGTGTACAGGCTGGCGTTAGCTGGGAAGAGCCATGGCAGGACCTAGGCTGAATCTGCCCAGAGAAGTGAGCAGTGCCAGGGACCCACGGGGAGCTGGGTTTCAGGGGAGGGTACCCGAGAGTGCACCACTCGTAGCTGTCCTGAAAACAGGGACCCAGTTTAGAACACCAGTGTCATTGGGAGACAACCACAGGCCGAATAAAGTGGATCATGGTAACAGCCACGATACCTGCGTCTGGCTCTGCCTCGGGGAGGCCCAGGGAAGGAGACCTCCATCTGGAAAAAATGGGTGATGTGGGTCAGCTGTGTCCCCACCCAAATCTCATCTTGAGCTCCCATGAGTTGTGGGAGGGACTCAGTGGAGGTAACTGGATCACGGGGGCAGGTCTGTCTTGTGCTGTTCTCCTGATAGTAAGTCTCGTGAGGTCTGAGGGTTATTACAAGGGGGAGTTTTCCTGCACAAGCTCTCTTCTCTTGTCTGCTACCACGTGAGACATGCCTTTCACCTTCCACCATGATCTGAGACTTCCCCAGCCACGTGGAACTGTGAGTTCTCCATTAAACCTCTTTCCTTTGTAAATTGCCCAGTCTCGGATGTGTCTTTATCAGCAGTGTGAAAATGGACTAATACAGATGGGATAACAGAGGAAGGCCTCCAGCTCAGGTATTAAAAGGTTAAATTGGAGGCCGGGTGCAGTGGCTCACGCCTATAATTCCAGCGCTCTGGGAGGCCGAGCACGCCTGTAATCCCAGCACTTTGGGAGGCCGAAGTGGGCAGATCACAAGGTCAGGAGTTCGAGACCAACCTGGCCAATATGGTGAAACTCCGTCTCTACTAAAACAACAAAAATTAGCTGGGCATGGTGGCGGGTGCCTGTAGTCCCAACCACTTGGGAGGCTGAGGCAGGAGAATCGCTTGAACCCAGGAGGCAGAGGTTATAGTGAGCTGAGATTGCGCCACTGCACTCCAGCCTGAGTGACAAAGCAAGACTCCATCTCAAAACAAACAAACAACGACAACAACAACAAAAGCACAAGGTGAAATCGGGCTGGCGTGCTGGAGAGCTTCTTTGTGGAGGTAATGGGTTATCTATTATGAAGGGTAACAATCTAGCCCTGTGGGTTTCCAGGGGAAGGAACAGGCCCTGAGATGAGATATTTGGCCCATTCGGGGAGTCAACATAAAACCCGCGTTGAGTTTCATGCAACCCGTGTGGCTGACGGGTGTGGAGAAAGAACACAGTAGCCCAGGGTGACCCGAGGCTACACACGGTGACCCGAGGCTGCACAGGGTGACCCGAGGCTGCACACGGTGACCCGAGGCTGCACAGGGTGACCCGAGGCTGCACACGGTGACCCGA